GGAACGGTATGATATTTGACACCCTAGGCCTGCCGGCCAAACTGTAGCGAACAGTAGAGGTGCGGGATTGTCAGTCCCATATAGATCTATACACAAATTCACGCTCTCCCTACAAGAGATTCTGGCTAATAGTTCAGGACTTAAAAAGGTCGTACTTAGATAAGTACACCGTGAAGGGTCTCACAATTTATTGTTTCAACGAGATTTCCGATGTATTATTATATTACCCGATGAATGCTAACTCTGGTACTTTGTATCGTACCCTTGGTTAATGCAAACCCGGTAAGATGTATTATTACCCGTGATTGCTAACTCTGGTACTCTGTATATCGTACCTTTGCTAATGCAAACCCGGTATGATGTATTATTACCCGTGATTGCTAACTCTGGTACTCTGTATATCGTACCTTTGTTAATGCAAACCCGACATTACCACGTGTTTGCTAACCCTGGTACTCTGTATCGTACCTTTGTTAATGCAAACTAGGTATGATGTATCTTTACTTCTTTAATATGTTATTCGTATATTAAAGGTATTATACATATCTTGGTATAGTTGAATGAATTTTGGTAATTTCCTTGGAAAGTATACAGTTGTAATCATACTTGTATCTTTAGTTTTGAATGATAAATTATACCTATTATAATTTATATGTTCTATCTGATTAGCATGGTTTCTCATGGATGAACACCTTTGCTCAGCCTGATACAAAGGTGAAGATACCAAAAGGAGTAACCTTGGTACTCATATATGTATAATATATATATATATATTATTATATATATATATATATATATATATATATAATTAAGAAGGAAACGACCTTCGGACAAACAATACAACCCTAATTCCACATCCAACAAGGAAAAGGATATAGGATAATTCATTAGTCCTAAGCCCTTCAAATCTTATTTATATATTTATACATATATAAACATGATTTTGGCATTTATACTTTGAAATAGCTTATAAAACATTTTTCAAAGAATTTAACGGAGTTTTACATGACTTTAAAGATTTAACATGGCTTCACGTTATTTTGGAAGTATTTGGTAATTCTTAAAAGCATACGGAATCATTTTGTGTGATTATTATCACATACAGTTATTAACACAATTTAATATTGTGTTAAACTTGTATTCCCCCCCCCCCCTAAAAAGCATTTAAAAACCATTGAAAAGGTAATTATAGGGGTATGAACTCACTTTGATAGCGGTGATTCGGGCAGCGTTTCGTTTCCCGGAAAAGTTTGTTTGACGAAAACCGGCTCAAAACGGGCAGAGTTTCGACAGGAGAGAGGATGAATTCTCGAGAATTTCGGGGCTCCGGGGGTTGCTTCGGGCTTTAGACGTGATACCGGGGCCTTCGGGGTTGTATATGAGTTTGTGGAAGTGGAAAATGTGAAAGAGAATGAAAATTAGGGTGAAAAGTGTAAACTAGTTCGGAACCCTCGCATGCTTTATATAGTCCGAAGGTTCGGACCCGAGCCTATGGCGAAGGGAGGGGGCTTCTTCGGACCGGAGGCTCGCTGCTGGCTGGCTCGGATTGGACCGGACTTCGGTCCAATAGAAGAAGGACACGTGCGAAGGCAGCATCCGAGGTGTGTCTCCGGGGTGTCTCATGCGAGGCTGTCCGAGTAGGATTGGACCGCGGCGTTGGTCAAATCAGGAGGTGCCACGCATGGCTTCGGTCCACTCAGCAGCTGCCACGTGCGAGGTGACGTGTCACTTGCGAAATTGCCCGGTTTTCCTATTTTTCTTTATTTTTGTGCAAAAACTTGCGAAAATCATAACTTTCACATATGAGCTCCGTTTTTGGCGTTCTTTATATGCACGCGTAGGTAAAATCATACTCTACGACTTTCGTTTAGACTTCGTCGACTAATTTTGACTTTATTTTTAATATTATTATTTTAAACAGACCGGGATGGGAATCCATTAAAAATTCATAACTTCTTCATCCTACGTCCGTTTTCGTCTGTCTTTTTACCGTTGTGCTACTTTTTGACGAGACCTTCGATTCTCGTTTAAGTTGCGTTGGCTAAATATCGATCGATTTATATTTCGAATTTTTAGCTGTCTACTGCTAAACCGAAACTTCGAAAAATCATAACTTCCTCATACGAAGTCGGATTTTTACGTTCTTTTTATGAACGTTCTCGGTTTAACATATTCAACAACTTTCATTTAGATTGTTAAGGCTAAAAATCCTTTTATCGAAAATTCACTTTTTACACTGAACAGTGTTTTGCCGGTTTTTCCGCGGATTTTCGATTGGTCATAACTTCTTCGTTATAACTTGGATTTCAGTGTTCTTTATGTTTTTGGAAACCTTGTTACAAAATCTACCACTTGGTTCATCCCAATTACGATTAATGATCAATTTATTTTTGACCAAAATTTGACTGGTGTCACAATAACTCTCACAAACTTAACAACACACTCCAAATAAAGTGTATAACCAACTAAAATAAATAAATTAAAAACAATGTAGCATGAGAGCTGCAAGATCTGACAATAGACAAGAAAAACTTCGTAGAGAAAATCTAAACAAAAATTAGGGTTTCTATGAATAACCAGCAAACATATTCAGAAGATCATTTGCTAGATCTATAGATGAGAGAAAAATATCTAATCCATAAAACCCCAAAATAGGATGTTAGGGTTTCTATGACCCAAAAAACATTCCAATCTATGAAGGTATACAAACAACAAATAGATCTAAATAAAGACATTTCAGATCTATCAAGAGAATGAAGATATATCTAAACAAGATTACTCTAAAATAATATGTTAGGATATTTGTAAACAAAAAATCTTCCATACAAATATATAAAAAATAAGCAGATCTAGAAGAAGATATACTTGACTGTAAAGAGAGAAGATATATCAACGTTACAAAGTTTTAAAAAGAGTAAGGGTTTCTTCCCCATCAAAAATCAATCTATTAAAATGATTCAACCAAATTTGAAGAGAAACCTAAATCACATGGAACCACTGAGAATACAAATAAAAACTAACACAACACTAAAGAAGAAAGCGATTTAGTGTTTCATAAATTAATTGTTTGTAAAAGATATTAAAGAACATAAAAAGATTAAAAATTGAATCTTCACGCTGATACCATATTCCCAATCATAAACTCAACCTTTGAATAATTCTTGACAAGATTAAAACAAAAACTCTTTTACTTCTTCCCTTTCGAAAACCAACCAAAAACAACTTTACAGATTAAGTCTTTTCAACTAGTTACAAATACAAAAAAAGGATTTAAAAAGATTTTACAATCAATGAAAATGATAGCAATGAAACCCTAAATCGCTTCCCAAAATCGAAGGTAAAACTAAATCACCAAGAACAATGAAGAATACTAACATAAACAAACACAATGATAAAGAAAAAAGCAATCTAGTGTTTCAAAAAAATGATTAAAGAACCTAAACAAAATATCCAAAATTGAATCTGACACCATATTCCCAATCATAAACTTAACCTTTGAATAGATCTTAACAAGATTAAAACAAAAACTCTTTTACTTCTTCCCTTTCGAAAACCAACCAAAAGAAACTTTATGGATTATGACTTTTCAACTAGTTACAAAAATACAACAAAACGATTTAAGAAGAAAGATTTACAAAGATTTGACAAGCAACGCAAATCATAGCTATGAAACCCTAAATCGCTTCACAAAAAAGAGAGAGAAAAGACAATAAAAAAAATTAGACCGAGGTGAATAATGAACAAGATATTCCTTGTCTCTTTTCTTATACATCCACATTGTTAGATGCATATCTACATGTTTAGTGCTTATTCGAACAACATTCATCAACTTAAGTAGTCACACTTTATAGTCACACTTTATGACGTGAAATTCCATTAATTTGCAAAAAAAAAAAATCAATGCATTTTGGATGCTTTTAGACTTTCTTTAAAATAATGATTTATTTATGATATTTATTTATAAAATGTTTTCATTATTGTGAAATGAAATATTAACCGGTCATTTTCTATCACACTTTTTCCATAAAGACTAACCTTTATATGTGGTCTGACAGTCACCACAATTAGAAAACATAATTTGAAATTTCTTTTGCTGGATGGATTCTATTCCATAAATGTAACTTTAAAGAGCCAACACAAACTAATTAAATACAACCTTCAAACAAGTTGAACAATTCATGAACCAAAAATAAAATGATGAATGCAGTTGCAGAGTTGGTTTTCATTACTTCAACTGAGCTTGGTCATATCATGTCGACTGTCGAAGTCACAAAACTACTTTTGAATCGAGATCAACGGCTATCAAAAACAGTCTTGGTAATCAAACCTCCTTTTGGCTCTATCTTTCAATAAACACTTACACTGAATCACGGGCTAAGAAGGCTACGGAGGAACGGATACACTTCATTGAACTTCCTCAAGATGAAACCCCACCAAACGTTGACGTAATAGCTCCGATGACTTTCTTGACTGATTTCATAAATAGTCATTGTAAATATGTTAAAAGTCTTGTCGGTGACATGATGAAACGACCGAGGTCCACTCGGGTCGTTGCGTTTGTCAACAATGTATTTTGATCTTGTATGATAGATGTGGCCAGTGAGTTTAATCTTCCATTCTACGTATACTTGACTTCGAATTCTAATTTTATTGGGTTTAAGTTGTATATCCAGAAACTATGTGACACTGAGAACCAGGATGTTGCTGAGTTCACTAACTCGGATACACGGATGCTGAGTTCTTCCCTCCGAACTTTGTCAAATCAGTGCCAACCAAAGTCTTTCCTGCTATGTACCAAAACAAAGAAGGGTTGGCCTTTCTTCGTGATAATGTACGGAAACTGAAATAGGCGAAAGCAATCATGATGAATACATTCATGGAGTTGGAAGCACATGAAGTTTAGTCGTTTTTATCTTTAGACAATAGCTTCCTGCCTGTGTATCCTGTGGAGCCAGTATTGAACCTTGATGGTGTTGACAGAAATCCCCAAGATGACGATGTTAGGAAATGGTTAGATGCTCCACCGCTGTCGTTGGTGCTCTTTTTATGTTTTGGAAGCGCCGATAGTTTTGAGGAGGTCGAGATGAAGGAGATAGCACATGGATTAGAGCGAAGTGGCCACCATATCTTGTGGTGCTTACGTCGACCTCCTCCACTAGAGAAACCGATGAAGTAGGGAAAGTGATTGGACAGGGCTCCACAGGTGGCAGTTTTGGCTCACAACGCCATAGGAGGGTTTGTGTCACATTGTGGGTGGAACATGGTGTTGGAGAGTTTGTGGTTTGGTGCGCCATTGGAAATATGGCCGGTGTATGCCGACAGCAGATCAATGCTTTTGAATTAATTGGTGGTGGAGATTACGTTGGAATATAAGAAATATGTACTTTATAGAGGTGGCAAAATTGTTGTCATCACAACGTAGGAGATAGAGAATGGGATAAGGCAGTTGATGGATGATAGGAATGTCAGAACAAAAGTCAAAGAGATGAGTAAAAAGAGTAGAGTTGCGGTGATGATGGTAAATGATTCGTCCTTCTCTTCCATTTGTTTATAAGTAGAATCTCATGAATAAAAACTGTGTACTATTAGACACACCATCTTATATACCATCATACATTATTTTTAACTTTATTTTTTAGGTCTATCGTATCATTATCATTTAACTAAATTTTATAATTTACTTCATTATAACCTAATCATTATGGTTTTATTATTTAATAATTACATTTTTTTTACCAACTTTATTAACATTAGTTACTTTAAACTTAATTTTTATTAAGAAAATAGAACAACAATAATATTGTTGTTATAATATAATAATATAAATAATATTACAAAAAAAAAATTCAAAATGAATTTTCATCAATTTTTTATCCTTGTTTTTAGTCGTAAATCCACAAACGTAATATATTTTTTTCCCATTTCCATAAACCTAATATCAATGATTGTAAAAAAATTATACTATAATATTATAAGACTAATAAATTCCAAACAAATCTTCCTCATTTAAAAAACCATTATATGGGCTATCTATGATTATTTATTTAGCGAATGCATCGTTAAAAAGAAAATATTACTTTTGTAGAATCATAAAAAGAATGACGTAGATAGAAAAAAAAAAGTCTAATTTATGTTTTTGTTGAAAAAAACCTTGTCTTTACTTATGATTATGATTAAGAATATTAAAAATTTATGATCTAATAATTAAAATAAAAGAGTGCATGTAATGCCATTTAACTTCTCCTAAGCCCCCATAAAGGTTATATTTCAGCCCTTTCTCTCAAAGTGAATTTCCTAAAATCCCGTATATTCCCACCCATTCTCTCAAAGTGAATTTCCTAAAATGCCATTTTTGCTACCTTTTATCCCTTGTTTTTTTAAAAGCAACTAATATTATTAAAATAGACCAGCGACTAGCAAGTACCTAAGGAGGGAAAGTAGAAAAAACAACAACAAAGAGTTATAGAGTTACAATATGTGGAAGGGAGATAACATCCACTCATCTCGGTTACAAATCCCACATTTATCCTTGCTTTTGATCAAAAAGTAAACCATAGATTTTATATATTTTGCACCATACGTGGGGTTGATGAACACCTGTCTAAACAACCGATTATTTCGATACTTCCACAAATTTAGGATAAGCCCATAGTAGATTGTGATGAATCTATCATGTCTTTTAGGATTACTACCCCAGTTTTAAGAGAATATGTGTAACATCCCGATGATTAGGTAATATCAATTTTAAACCTATGTATGAAGAAATATTGCATTTTGGTCCCTGTGCATGAGAAGGATATCAAAATGGCCGATAGTGGTATTTTGGTAATTTTGGGTCGAGAATTAGTACGCTGGGCGTACGCTTCGTACGCAAGGCGTACATGTGAGGAGTGTAGTACGATGGGCGTACACCACGTACGCAGGGCGTATGTGCGAGGGTTTCAAACCCTAAAATTTAGGGTTTGGACCATATTTAAACATCCTTATGGCCCCAAGACGTTCACCCTCATCAGCCTCCATCTGAAAAACCGTCCCTCTAGCTAACCATACATGAGAAGAATGCACTTTGAGCTCATTTGTGTGTTTTGGTGGTATTCTTGAAGAAGAAGAAGGTGATATAAGGACATTGGAGCTTAGAAGAAGCTTGGATATAGGATTCTCTACTTGATAGCAACCTACAGGATTAGCACTGATGCCTTGGACCACGAGTACTCCCCACGTACACCCGAAGTACCCACCCGCATACGAGGTCAAAGTTGACTCAGTTAGGTTGACTAGGTTCGATTGACCCGATTGATTTGTTGATTTTGACCAAGGGCATTTTAGAAAAATGTTATTAATTAAGAATAGGAAATGTTGATATTTATGAGTCGGGTAGAGCCGGTTGTTGGAGCAGGGTTTTATTCAGACTACATTCAGACTGATAGGGGTGTTTTCCTCACTGTACCCATGGGTCTAAGGTACCAATTCCGGCCCACTAGATTATTTATCTGTAACGACGTAAATTTTCAAACAATTTTTCCTTTTTCAAACATAACATATCTCATATAAATCATCTCAAAACTCAAGTGTATCAAATGTTATCACGGTAAAACATATCCCAGAATCTCAAATACAAAATCCTCTGTCAGTGTGTACAAATCATTCCTTCCTTGCAAGAATGCACTATGGTGGTGTAATTAACTCCTTCCCTCACTCTCTATGCTCTCTGGTTCGTTAGGGTCTCTCAAGTGTGTGTGTGGCCGCCAATGAAGGCCATAAGGACCCTTAAATAGGGCACACGCCCAAAGATTTAGGGTTTTTGTCCACAGCGCGGACTCGTCGAGTCGACTCACCGGCTCGTCGAGTCCATTCATTAATCCGAGTCATCAGTCGCGATCCTACTCGACGAGTTTAGGTGTCAACTCGTCGAGTCCCTCTTCTTAACTCAAAATAAATACTTAAATTATGATACCTGGAAATCCGGATGTTACATTATCCTGGTTAGGATAATATTAGGCTAGTTTGTAGCTGATTAGTAGATTTGCATGATTATCTGTATTTGTTGGTTTTGTGTCATGTTTATACGTTACATATGTCGACATATTGCAGTTGAGTTGAGGTAGTCCTGCTTTGTGCTGTTGTCCAAGACACTCGGGGATAACCAGATAGGCTGTAGTCCCTGCGAGGCGGTCCAATCAGGCCGACGTCATGTTGAGTGGTCCGGATAGGCTGTAGGCCTTACGAGGCGGTCCAGTCAGGCTGACTGCTTGTAGAGTGGTCCTGATAGGTTGTAGGCCCTGTGAGGCGGTCCAGTCAGGTTGGATGCTCATATTTGTGTGCTTGTTTGTTATGTTGTATGTTGGTACTTTGGGCGAACTCACTAAGTTTTGGCTTATAGTTTTAGTTTATGGTTTCTAGTACTTATGAGGATCTGGTAAAGCAAAGGCGTGATCGTGCACAACTTCATGTTTTATGTTACTGGGTCTTGGGAAAACTCTAATTTTGAAATAATGCTTTGAAACAATGATTCCTTTTGTAAACAATGTTGTTAACTGGTTATTTTGAAATTTTTTAAATTTCTTTGATTTTTGGAGAATTACAAGTTGGTATCAGAGGTTTGGTTTGAGAGAATTGAATGAACATTTGTGTGAATCCATACTTAAACTAGGGAACTAAAAAAAGTTTTAAATGGTTTTCAAAGATTGTTTTAAAAAACAACCAAGGAAGGATGCGATGCGTATAATCAGCCGGAGCAAGAAAGTATATGCCAAGTTACCCACACCGTTATTTGACATTATGTTTATGTTAGAACAACATGCTAGTTGTAGGATAGGTATCTTCAGGAATTGCATGATAGAACTTCCGGATACATGATACCTTATTTTTTATATAGTTTTCTTTCTTATTGTTGTAGGATTCTTTCGGGTGTGAATTATATATTAATCGAATTCGTTAAGTCACATGCTGCATGGGTTAAATAATTTTAGAGTGAAGGATTTGGTCCTATAGCACAAATCTTGTCTTAGTCCAACCGTAATAGGGTCGAATCTTTTAATATAAAATTATTTAAGTTATGTTGCATGTGATTGTATTCATGTAATAGCTATTGGCACCAATGGGGGTCGTTTGGCAGTTGATGGTAGGGTGAGGTGTGGATCCTAGTATAGCCTAGGGAGTATGTAGTACTCATGATGCGCTTTTTAGCGAGTATCATTACGAGTAATTATGGATGTAACAGGAAAGTTTTGGAATGATTAGTCGCTCTTGAGAGAGTGAGAATAGGATATTTGTGTAACCTAGTTGTTGTATGTGACATCCCCTAATTTCTCGGCCAGAAAAGACCGATTTCGTTTATGCTTTTTAAAATAAAATCAGAGTAAACCCTTTTAAAAGATGTTGCGGAATTTGTTCCCAAAACAAAACATGATAAAAGTTTATCAAAACCTTTCTTTAAGATATATATAGTTTTCTTTTATATCAAAACCCCGGGATGTCATGTTTCGATACAGATCAAAAGCATAAACAAGACATTATAAGCCTTACAATAGTTATTTACAACTACTGCCCTATAATCCATAAATCACTCATCATCATCCGACTATGCTCGGGGTCCACTACCTGTAATATAAAAAAAGCTGAGTAGGTCAGGCTTGGAAGCCTGGTGAGCATATAGGGTTTTCAACCCACAATAAATAATAAACTTATTAAGTTCTCAATCAACAATAAATTTATTAATTTCATCAACCAAAAATAACCCTAATTACCCATTCCCATTATCCTCACTTTACGTCCCTAAAACAACTATCACAAGGGACCTAGCCTAAGGATTTTTATTAGGGGTGACAACATTGTTTTCCTCAACAATTTATGTCAAACAAGACAACTAATAAGGTGACAACATTGCTTTCCTCAGCAATTTATGTCAAACAAGACAAACATCAGGATGACAACATTGCTTTCCTTCAGCAATTTATGTCAAACAAAACAACCTAACATAAAACAACCAATAAGGTGACAATATTGCTTTCCTTCAGCAATTTATGTCAAATAAGACAACCAATGTGGTGACAACATTGCTTTCCTCGGCAATTTATGTCAAACAAATATCGGGGTGACAACATTGCTTTTCTCTCAGCAATTTATGTCAAAAGGGTGACAACATTGCTTTTCCCTCAGCAATTTATGTCAAATAGGCACGAAGTCACATCATCGCCAAGGTTTATACAACAGGCACTACGTCTCATAGTCGCCAAGGTTTATACAATAGGCACTACGTCTCATAGTCGCTAGGGTTTATACAATAGGCACTATG